CTATTTCGCTGCTTTTTTAATTAAATTGATGCAGAACTTGAACATATGCAGGGTGAATCAAAATTCGCCCGATTCCCATAGTGAATGTAAATTTACTGAGAAGTTTGTTTGAACATCGGCAAAAGAACAATAGCTTTGTCCATAAAAAATCTATTGCAAGGAGATTTTAGAGCTATTTCGGGCTCTGCAGCTTCAATTTGCAAACCATTCCAAAATGTAGAGGTTTCTTCAAAAAAACGTCGGAAACACCTTTACAGTTTGATGTTTTAGCTCTGTCGTATTTTTAAATTAATTTCAGTTAGTTTAGCTCCGTTTTCCACAGCCTGTAAACTGTAAATATTGGCGAAAATTGGGCGAATTTGATTTCTAAATATTTGGCGCAAATATGAAATATTCGAAAACTTCCAGGCTGGAAGAGAAAAATCCTCGAATTCACTACAATCGGTTTTAAACGTTGTTTTCTAACCGAAACTTTACTGTTTATCGATTTGAAAGCAAATTTGGTTTCTGGAATTCTGGCCAAAGTTGCTTCAATAAAATCCGGCCGCAATAAACTTCAGGTTTTCGATTTTTCAGGACATCCTTGAACTCGGCCTTGCCATATCAACCGAATAGGAAAAAATGGGAAATTATCAATTGTCCATTTTATTCGGACCAATTGAGAATGAAATTTTACGCCCTGCTAGTAAAATCTGACCGCAAATCGATAAATCTACACAGCAGCCGTGTCGGGTAACAGAACTTTCCGTAATCACCGGCCCGAGATTTTACGTGCCATAAAAGTGGCGACTCGTAAAGGGTGCAGTGCTTCATTTCGACGACGATTTTCTCACGATGAATTTTACAGGTCGTTTTCATCGAGCTAATTAATTTCATATTTATCCGATTTTCCAATCAGGCGTTAATTCATCGATCTTGAGCGCCTCAGCCGACCTGAAGCTGCAGCAGATGCACACCGAATCTTTGAAGAAATGGCTTGGCTTAACACCCCTTAAAAAGCCTTAATTTCGCGTGGATTCCAACGCAGTCCTACTTCCGATTGGAAAGTAGAATTTAACAATGCAGCAGCAAGGCCATTTTAACGTTATTACATATTTAAGGACCTTTTAACCTTTACGAGCGCCGGACAGTTAGAGCATCCAACATGTTATGGAGTAATCTTCACGGGGCACGAAATTTCCGTTTATGGGGCGCTTAAGGCAACAACCTCGTTTCATTTAATAGAAATTACTTCCTTAATAATTCGTGTCTTAATTCCTGCCTTGATATTCGATTCATTCTTCTGTGGAACTTTGATTTTAATGGATAGTCTGGACGCATTGTAAGCCTCACAAGAACTAAACTAAAAATTGCTAGTTTTTTAAATTTTTGATGTAAATCTCAAAGAAGCACTAAAAGCGCAACGAAACAAGCAATTTCGGTATATTAGACTGAAAATTTGCATTGAAAACTGCCCTATTTTTCACTAGGCTCCTTAGAGGCTCTAAAAGTTTTTACAGCTGCGTAACTGAAAAAACAGTTGGAAATTACTGCGTAGTTGCAAAGGCTTTTGGGTGGATCGGCTTTGAACCCATTTTGGTACACTTTGGGATTATTGTCAAATTAAAATTCCTAGCCTTTAAAACGCTATTAGAAAAAATGTGGACACTTGAACATGGTGACAAACGGCTTAAAATTCCTTTTGGGGCGTAACGTAACGAAAAATGTGAACACTTAAAATCCTGTAACTCAAAAACATTTCACAATCCCCTGAATAAACAGGGATTATTCAAATGTTCGATAGAGCGCCTCAGAAGCTATATTTTGTCAATTAAGTACGTAATCATTCGAACCTTTAAAGCGCTCAAAGCAAAAAATTAAAAAACTTCAAGATTCCCAAAGTTTAACAGCCCGAATCTCAAAAACGGTTCAAAATTTCGGTTGAGCTTTAACCACAGTTTCTATAGAGCCTAACAGAAATTGTCTCTTTCAATTAGGTTGGTAGTAGTAAGTGCGATAAAAAAACTCCAAGCCTTAAAATTTTGTGTGCTACAACATACAAAAAATTTAAAATGCTCAACCTTTAACAGCTCGTATCTCGGAAACTGTTCAAAATTCGCCATTAGCCCTAATAACCTTTCGGATGCAGCGTCTCAGAACTGGCTTTTTGCAAATAGTCCTGATCAAATATTTCTAACCTGAAAAAAGGTGGAGGCAAAAATATATCAATTGAACACAACGTTGAAGTTTGTAGGATCGTATCTCAGAAACCGTGGCCCACATCACTTAAGAGGGAAAAATCCTTTTGTTAGAGAAATTTAGAAGCTGCATTTTCCAGGTGAACTGTGTGCAAATTTTCTAACCTCTAAAAAGTAAGAGGCCAAAATATTTCAATTCGAGGCAGCGTGGGTGTTTAAAGGAGCGTATCGGGAACGGTAGCCAATAACATTTCTGAAAAACCCCTTTTTCAGAGCAATTAAAAACTGCATTTTTCTAGTGAATTTTATGTAAACTGTATTTTACTAGTGAGAGTTTTTGGAGTTAAAAAACAAATAAAAATACATAAACTTCCGGCCAACTGTCGGTATATTAAAACGGCTCTCAAGCTTCGAAGAACTTTTAAAAATTGAAAAACACGTGAAAAATAGCAAAAGCTGCGTTTTCCGTTTCCATTTTCCTGCCATTAGCAAATTGTTTGTCAAACTGCATTTCGCGAGCCCAATTGCATAACGCGGCTCTGTTGGACCATGTCGATCAACGTTATAACAAAAAGTGATTTTTTCTCATTCTCTCATTCGACGAAATTTTGCAGGAAAAATACGGCCGAGTGGTGAACGATTTAATTTTTCTTTCTGCCGTTATTGATTGAAATCGGGCGATGTGTATGTAACTCATTAGCGATAAAAATGTGCTTTGAAAAACCCCGGGTTGAATGGTAAGGCTTAAGCTTGTTAAAAATGGGAGAAGATTCAATTAGCGACAATCCTCCCAAGCTGGCAAAGTGCAAACTAGACTAGTTATGGAGTGATATTTGGCTGAATTATCGATAAAGGGCATGTAGTATTAATTAGCAACTTTGCGCCAACCTCGGCAGTGATAGATTACGCTAATGGTATAAAATGTCATCTTTGACGCCCATATAGCTTAGACTATGGGCTTTTGGTTAATTCACTCGCTTCAGCCAACTTTATTATGCATTATCTCGCCACGGATCCATACAGAGCCATCAC